AACTAAAAGATATATGACTTACCTTACAAAATATCTCATTAAGGGCAATATAGTACTTCAACAAAGAGAATTTTATATTATTAAAAACCTTTGTGAGTATAGGTCAGCCCCTCTGTCAGAAATTTTCTGGTATTCTAGCATGGTCCATCCTAACATGTTCCTGAAATCTCAGTTTTATTTATAAGAAAATGAAAGGGTATACACTTGGCGAGTTTGAGCTCTTGCTTGTAGTTATTATGTCCACTGAAGATGTGGCAACATCGATGTAACACTTCGAAGAAATTATAAACTTTTAGGCAAAATACATTTCAACTCAAACATTGCCACAAAAGTCATTTAAAAATTTTGTAGGGTCCCCACTTGTCAGAGTATGTTATGTTAACCATTAAAAGTCAAAATTCTATAAAAAGACTATTATGTCCTTACTACAAATTATTTCCCTATTTGGTGACCTTTAATTTTCAGAAATTATGTTTAGAATAATATTTTGGGAAAATTGTAGTCACGGTATCAAACATTTCACTTTTTGTAGACTTTGTTTAAACTTTTGATTTGTGTCATCCATGGTACCAAACTTTTCACAAATATGTGCCGGATGTCCGAATGGATGGTTTCCGTCCAGTTGACCGTTAGTTGATAAAAAAAAGTCAAAATTGACCAAATTCATTAATGACAAAATGGTAAATTTACATTTTTTTTTTCATATAAAATAATTATAATAATTAGAAAAGAAAAAAGAAAAAAAAACAAAAGAGTCGTCTTCTTCCTCAAATCATCCAAAATCGCTTCAACCACCACCGGTCGGCGTCGGCGTCGCCTCTTCCTCCTCAGCCCGTCCTCTTCCTCCCCAGTTCAAGCGATCCCTCTTCCTCTTCCCTCGACTTTCGCACCGACCTCCATCGCCTCTTCCTTCCACCACTACGACCGTCGTCGCCTCCTCCCACCACCACGACCTCCATCGCCTCCTTCCCCACCACAACCTCAGCAAACCCGTAAACCACCAACATCAAGCCAGAGTTCACAAACCCGTGAACCCACACCCCACAGCATCTACAATCTCTTCCTCAAATTTCCCTCAAACCCGTGAACCCAAACCCGAATTGCAAGTCCTAATTCGAGAATTCCCTGTAAATTCTTCTGCTCATTCTCACTGGATGCATAGCATTGGAAGTGATGGTGGCAATAACGAAAATAAAGCCCGCATTCAGAGGATTATTGCAGCTGGAAAGGCTCTTGTAAATGTGGTCCAGATTGGGAAGGAGGTTATTATCTTCAAGCCATCTAAGACTGAGAAGCATGTGAGTGAATTAACTTCAAAGTTAACTTCTTCAGAGGTTTCTGCTTCCACAGTTGGTGATGGCAGGATTCATTGTGGAAATTCTCTGTAAATTCATTATGGGAATTCTCTGTAGATTCGGATTTGGGTTCACGGGTTTAAGGGGAATTCAAGAAAGACATGGTAGATACTGTGGGGGTGTGGGTTCACGGGTTTGTGCCGGCACAGAGGTGGTGGAGGTGTCGACGGTGTGCCAGCACTATTGTTGGTTGGAGAAGTGAAATCGAGGTTGGGTGGTGTGGGGTGGCTAGCCTTTTTATTTCTTTTCTTTTCTTTATAATTATTTTATATGAAAAAATGTAAACTTACCATTTTGTCCTTAATGAATTTGGTTAATTTTGACTTTTTTGGTCAACTAACGGTCAACTGGGCGGAAACCATCCATTCGGACTTTTGTTGCATATTTTTGAAAGGTTTGGTAGCGTGAGTGGTACAAATCAAAGATTTAGATAAAGTCTGCAAAAAAGTGAAATGTTTCGTACCGTGGCTGCAATTTTTCCTAATATTTTTTGAAAAAATGTATAACTAAAAAGTAGAAAAAAAATTTGGATTTACGTTTAGAATATCTTATTGTGAGAATGTGATTGAAAATGAGTATGAGAAATAATGTAAAACAAATTAAAGGCCACAAAAATGGGCTAAAGTATTAAAGAATAAAAAAAAACCAAAAAGGAAAAGAAAAAGGGAAAAATTTATAAATAAGGCGTTTAGTTTACATCAATTCAAAAATTCAGGAGAAGCTCATGGGCCTTTAGATTACATACTTAAAAGTGATATATTCATAAATAAGGTGTTTAGTTTACATCAATTCAAAAATCATGTTTATAGTTTGAAAATTAAAAAATCAGGTTTTTTTTTTAATTCTAATATAATATAATAAACTCACCCCACATGCACCACCCCTACTGCTCTGGGGACTATTCCCACAACCATTCCGACCACCACTCTTTTTCGGCGACCACTCTTCTCCGACGACCATTCCGGCGACTGCTCCAATTCCGGCGAATAATAATTTTTATACGTCACAGATTATTTTATGGTCACAGTTCAAAAATTTTATATGTCACATTTAATTCGTTGGTCACAGATTTCAAAATTAGTTGGTCACAGATCAAAATTTATAGGTCACACGGTCACAGATTTCCAAATTAGTTTGTCACAGATTTTTT